GGATTAAAAATTTGTCCAAAGTTTATATTGATAGTTTTAAAGTGAGTATGAAATTAGGGTGACTTAAGGTAGGACTTTAATTAATGTATTGAAATGAAGTGTAATATACATAAAAATTACACTAAAACTGCATTAAATTAGGAATGGAAGAATTTTAATTATTATTTTTGTCTGATCACATAAAATATTTATTATTTAATCTTTTTTTAAACATCATGAGATAAATTGAATTGTGTTCACACAGTTTCAAAAGTTACAAAAATATATTTATCATCTATTCTAACTTATTTTTAATAAAACTTAATAATTTATAACTTAATTTGTAATAAAACAAAAATATTTAATCAATTAAATATATAATGTTAATATGACTTTCCTCAATAATTTTATAGTCTCTAAGAAGTCATAAGACAAATACATTTATTTCAAATATATAATTTATAAACAAAATAACTATATATCTGACTTCAAACCTTGTTTTAATGTATAACAAATAAATATGCTTTAGTATTGGATTAAATCAAACACTTTCAAGAAATTATCATACACCTTATGTTTAATGCACATAAACATTTCAGTGGAAACAAATATTTGGATTAATTACACAAAAATAAAAACATTCCTTTCAAAACTCAATATAAAACATTGTTTTACCTATGGTTTATCAAAGGATTTTCTATTATGCAAACTATGTATTCATAGTTGTTTATTTGCATAATGTCAAACATCAATTGATATTATGCAAATAAACTATTTAAACTGATGTGAACTATTTCAAGTTTCATCACAATGGAAGGGTTTCCAACTTGAGATAAAGTTGTAGTGAAATTTCATATTTAACCTATTTCAGGAATGAGAAAAAAACAATGGGCATAGTGAGAATTTATGCAAATATGCATGTCAACTGTTATATAGAGATTAAAAACTAAAGAATCAAACAAGTCAATATTTTGGCAGGTGATATTTATCTGTTTTATGACAAAATTTAATCATAATAAAGACAATCAGAGCCAATACAACTAATACATAGCTTTGTAATTGAAACAAAAAAATTTTATTGTTAAGAGTTTAATTTACAACATGAAAATGCAGATCATTTTCACCAATAAAATGGTCAAGGCAATGTTCTATCACAGTGAGAACACAATTAAAAAAAAGAAAGATATTGCCTTTTTTATTGTGCAGTTAGTCATTTTCATATTGAATGTTAGCTTTAAGGTATTTTCAAAAGATTTAAAGTCATTGTCATCTCCATTTTCTGAAACATGGTTGTAAATTTTACTCTCCAAGCATTTGATCAACACAATTTGGATTAATTGACAGCATCTCTTCAAACTGGCTCTTCTTTTTTTCTCTGACAAATGACAAAATTGATTTTAACTCTATCTAAAAGCCATTTTCAAAATTCAACTTTTAACCTGCCACATAGCAATTTGCATGTATATCTGCATAAATTCTCACTATGACCACTGTTTTTTTTCATTCCTAAAATAAGTCAAATATGAAGGTTCAAGAAGGAATGGGATTTTAAGTTGAAAGTCATCATCGATAATCTTATTTTAACATTGTTTTGTAAATATTTAATTATATAAATCATATTTTTCATACTATAAAAAATCACTGTTTACATAGTAAGCATAACAAATTGTGTTTGATGTTTAAGATCACAATTGACTTAAAGAATACTTTTGTATATCTTGGTGAGCATTATCCTGAGAATGGCTGCCCAATCAATTGAAAATACTTGATTAATAAAAGATTTCTGATGGAAGAGGCCAGAAATGTTTTAATTTATTTTAGATACAAGTTTACAAAGCTTATTATTGGTCCATATTATCATTACTGTAATTACTTATGAGATAAAATTATAATAAAAAGTGTATTATCTATATACATTGCAATTGTAGGTGAAGAACATAGCTTCTTGACAAATATAACACATTTGAAAAAAGAAAAATTGAAAAGTTAAATAATTCTGTTTTGAAATAAAATTGATTTTTATTACTCATTTTTAAACTATTCCATAACTTAAAATGATTTTATAATATATAAAAAAAAAAGCTTTCCTAGAGTAAATTCAATTTATGAAAACTTCTAAATGGAATCTAGTTATCATTATCATAATCTGAAGTTTCAATTCAAAATTTATATGTTATGTAAATAAAATATAAGTGAATAAGATTTCTAAATATTTTTATGAAATAAACTATCATAGAATATTAACAGACTAATTTTAGTTATCTACTTAGTATTTATTTTAAATAATCTTATTTTAAAGTAATTTATAAAATATGGCCATTTCAAAAGTGCAGGTATCCGTTGATTAGCACAGTTAATTAATCCTTCAATCCCACCACATATATCAAAATCTAGTATCTACATTAAGTAAAGATAGCTGGTAAAGCTGTACAAATTAAAACTTCTGCATTCTATTTAAAGAGATTGTTGCAATTAATTTTGCATGTTAATCAAATCCCACACTAAGAAAAAACAACATTAAGCAAGGGATACCTGTAATGTAAATCATGTAATATATTTGTCGACAAAACACTTGATTTTTACAATGTACCATTATTCAAAAGTTTCCTAATTTTATTTCATATAGAATATCTTCTTATAAACATTGTAATCTAATCAAGAATATTTTATACAAAATAATACAGTCAAAGTTAGAGCTTCAAAATTAATCCTCTTAATAAAATAATATATTACCTAATATTAAAAATATAGCAATAAAATTTAACACATGCAAAAATTTCAAAAAGTTAACCATTGAGTGTTTTGTTTTCAGTTTTTAATAAAGAAACATTTTCAGCTACATTAGTAGTCATTACCAGGTTCAAATGGCTACTAATATAGCTGAAAATATTTATTAAAAATTGACGCTGGATTTAAAATTTTTATTTTCTTTTTCAATTTTTTCTTGTTTTCTGACAAAAGGTTAGACACATTAAATTTTTTATACTTCTGACTTTGAAGATGAATCATTATTACAAGCATGTGTTGATACTGCTTCATATATATAATAAAACAAAACCACTCACAGCTGGTTAAACTTGATAAAAACTAGAAAAAAACCAAATACCAGCTTTCTCTCTCTTCTCTACACACGTACAGCAATCCCTCAATACCCCATTGTTTCAACAGCTGCAGGATCATTTAATCTGATGAAGCCCATTCAACAGAGATAAAAATGTTAGCATTACCTTCCTTTTTTTCTGCTGGTATTTGATTTCTTTGTTGTTTTAATAGATATATAATAATTTGATATGTTTCAGAAAATTTTCTAACAATTTTCAAAATTGCTCTTGAACTTAATCACTGTTTCTTCTGAACAGATCATTAAATTATTAAACACATTTCCAAAAATAATGAAAAAGCCATTTTAAATTTGTTTATTTATTTGTAAGTTTTCAAATAATTCTTCAACTAATAGCATCTATATTTATCAGAATTAGATTTTATAACAACTTTTAGATCATTTTATAATTGAAACAGGCAAATTCATGCTTATAATTTGCAAAATTTCTTAATTCTATTAAGATCAAGACTTTCAGTCAGAATCAAAAGTAATACAAATATATTATTTAAAAAATCATTAAAAAATTAGTTTGATTCACCTTAACATATAAACATATAAAAACAAATAATTTAAAAAAGGTTTAAACAGCTACACACACCAAATATTAATATAAAATGAAGCATGTATATCACCATCTGTTGGCATATACTTTCAACAGTCTAAAACTGTCCCCTTCGGGCAGAATCTTATTCTCCAAAAGCTCTAATAACTCTAATAATTCTGCCTGAAGAGGACAGTTTTAGATTGTTGAAAGTACTTGCAAAATAAGTCATTTTTTCATAATGCCAACAGACAGCAATAAACATGTTTCATTTTATAGCAAATAATAAGAAATTTTGCTTTTTAAATATCATATATACATCAGAATATATGGTTATAGCAAATACACAGATTTTTAAATTTTCCAATGATGGAATTCTGATAACAGAAGAAAGTTAAGTTGGCATGTTACTTCTCTCTGTTCTGTTCAATGTGACTCACATTTATCAAAGTTACTTCATTAAAATATATACTTTACATATTTGAATTAATATTATGCATGAAGTGTTTGCATTCTTTAAATATATAGAATATAGACTATATATATAAAGAATTTTCATAAATTATTCACAGAGCATATATAACAAAAACAATAAAATCAATAATAATAATAGAAAATGAACAGATAGAGCATTTCCTAAGAATTTGATTTAGTTTTTTTTCTAAACTTTTGCCTACGCAATCTTTTCATTTACAGTAGAATCCCACTAGTCCGAACTAATTGGGATCAAGTCCCATTCGGATTAGCTGAATAAGTGAAATAATGCAAAAGCAAGCAGTAAAACAGGTCCGATTTATACAGATCCAACACAATCAATGACTTTTGTTTCTGTTTTTGCATGTAAGTACAGTATAGATCTGCCGTTTTATAGGTTACATCAAACACCGATTTATTAATTTTGTACAGTATTAATAAAATACAATTCTTTTTGTTGTGGAATTCTAAATCTTTTTGTACCATTAATACCATTCAAATTCAACTGGAAAATACAAATAAATGTATATTTTGTGAGCTAAAAAGCCGACCAAAACACGTTCGGACTAGCCAGACTCTACTGTATTAGAGACATTTGTTCCCATAGAATTGCAAAATGTACTGTATTTTCTCAGACAACCAATTGGTATGTTTAAATATCTGTATGTTAAATCTGTATAAAATACAATACACGTTTTGTCTATATAAAATTTATCACACAGATAATTCTCAATATAATTAACACGTATTTTAAAACAATGAAATTTAGTTATTTACTGTTGTAAACCTCTTATATCTGTGCCATACAAAGTAATGTTTTTTTGTATTATATAATTATTATTTTAAAGTTTCATGAGAATACACAGTATATGTATATATATTAATTTCAGATAAGAATTTTACCTAATTTATGTAAAAATAGACGTCTTGAGTTCGAAACAAATCTAAAAAAATAAATAAATAAAAATCATACAATTGCAGTAGTGTTACCACATGCACACACAAGCCTCCAATCATCCCATTTAAGTGTCGAGCCGCTACTAGACTCCACCTAGCGACAAATTGTCACATTATTATAAGAATTTCTTGTCTTCTTTATTCCTATATAATTTTTAGTTTATATATTACACGTAAATTAAGTTTTCCTTTTCCAAATGATATTGTTTTAATTAAAATGTATTTTTAATATTTGGGTTTAAATTTTAACATTAAAATACAGTGAAATTTTCTTTTATTTCCATGAATTACGTTACTTCTGAGAAAGTAGAAAACTAGACGATCTTTAAGCATTCATCATTCCAATGGGTTGTGGGCCCAATAGTGGCCCACAACTTAACAAATGGATTGAGTGCGTGAAGACCGAACGATGTTCGTTTTACACACAAAAACACTTCAAAGACTCTTTTACACAAAACATCGCACGTAGATAATTTTAAACATTTTTTTCTTTTCTGTTTTAAATTAATTTTCTTAAATTTAAACAAAGCAAATATCAACTCGATGGTTTTAGAAGAAATGAAAGCCGTGAAGAGATTCAAAATATAAGCTACACACTCTCATACGTTACGCTATTAAAGTACACCAGTAAATCAATCATTATAAAAGATTGATTTGTTACAAGAAGAAATGGTAAAATCCACATAAAATCTGCCGACAAAACTTTCTTAGCATTTTTTTCGCTGCCAAAATGAACTGCATGTTACGACGAGATAAACACATTTTGATAGCATCTAAAGAATTGCTCTGCATCCGTTGTACAAATAAACGGCCTCTGCTTGACCAATATTCACTATCCGATCTATGTTTCCCAAACTGGAGTACAAACTCCTAAGACCTTAAATTAGTTTCGAAGGATTGGCTTAGAGCAGTGTTTTTCAACCTGTGGGTCGCGACCCCCACGGGGGTCGCGAAGCCTTACAAGGGGGGTCGCGGGTAAAAGAAAAAGACAAGTGTTTGTAGGTCCTACACCACATTAAAAAAACTACAATTTCAGCGAGAAGGCTGTATCTGTTTATTATACAGTACAGTTGGTTTTTTGATCGACATTTAGGTCCGAATGATGGATGTCGCCTGGGAGGGGCCTGGGTGGGTACGGCCCCAGGCCCCTGCCGGAAAATAATTGCCGAAAAAGTGTTGAGCTGACATGTAAAAAGAAGTAATAAGTAGAAAAGTAGAAGTGAAAAACCCTCATCCTAAATTAAAAAGAAAGGTCAACAGCACTCCGAACCCATTGTTATTATAATAAGGAAGTAACATACTATACGTGTCTTAAGTTATTGTCGATTCTCCTTAAATTCTCATTTCAGTCAACAGTAATTTCTCTCAACAGAACGAAAATTAAATACATAATTTTTTAAATCACTGATATAGTTTTAATATGGCCCTAGAGGGGATCGCCTGAATTTTTTAACTTGTAAAGGGGTCGCGTATTCAAAAAGGTTGAAAAACACTGGCTTAGAGTTCATAATGTAGGTTTATTTTATAATATATTGATGGAATCAATGGAATTCGATGGTTTAGAGTCTGTATATGTAACTTTTATGTAGCACAATCCACGATGCTATAATTTTTTCAAACTTATTTTATTATTACTATTCTAATTAAAAGAACACCCTCATAACTCAGGCAGGTAATCTGCGTAAATTATACATTAGAAAACACTTACAGCTTAGCAGTAACCTGATCGTGGTATTAGTTGTAATTTCATTACGAAATTTCCTGTAATAAATACAGTAAAGCCTGTTTCAGAACAAAAGCCACCGGAAGCTTCGGCTTTGGAAAGTTTTGTTGTTTAACTAAACTAGACTGTGGGCGTAACAAAATTGTTGTATCGTCACAGCAACGAAAATACCGTCTTAGCAAAGAAAATATTACGGTGTTCCCTGCAAAATCTCCATTACTTCGAGATCGTAAATTACACTTAATTATTGAGAATAAAGCCGTTTTAATCGGCGTTTTACAAAGTAACAAGTTTTGTAAATAGCGAAAGCATTTGGCTTGTGGAAAAAGGAATTTGTAAATGAGTAATGGAGATAACACCGATGTTATCTTCGTTTCTCTATATTATCATTTATAAAAATATTCTCAATATTCCTCCGATATAATGGACAATCGCTGCGAAAGCGGGTAGAATAGATCTCTCTAATTTTCTCGCCACCTATTCACGGAGAGCCCCTGACATCAGGCTTTCCATGGGCATTTATTTCCTTTTGTAGCCTTCTAACTTCCAAGAGTAAGTATAGCCAGTGGCGTAGCGTGGGTGTCAGCCGCCCGGGGAGGAGGAAAATTTCGCCCCCTTATTTAGGTATCTCAATTTAAAAGACTAAAATTCAGTTTCGTCACAGAATAAGTAATGAAAAATTCCGTGCTAGTGTTGCTACCTTTTTAAAATCGCTGACCCGGAAGGTAGGTGAAGTTAGTTCGAACAGAAGTCCCTGACGGAATGTCATTTTGCAATGCGAAGAACAATGTGCAGTGCATGCTGGTTCTAAATCAGTTATATACGAATAAATCATAGAAGCAAAAAATAAAAAATAAAAAAAAATAAGGTCGACAGGTTGCGCAAGATATCCCCGGATGGCGAGTGGATTCCCGGACTGTCCGGATGGTAACACTATTCCGTGCTCATTTCAATCGGTCCGAATCGTAGGTGGACGAAGATATGAAATAAAATGGTTCAAATTCTTACAAGATATTATTATTTATTGTAAAATTTTGTCGCCCCCTAAAAAGTGCCGCCCGGGCGCGGCACTTTTTAGGGGGCCCGGCGGGCCGCCCCTGCCGCCCCCACTACGCTACGTTACTGAGTATAGCACACTAAATCTGTCAATTCTTTAAGATCATCTACGAGATTCCCCGAGTTCAGGACATGCATAAGGAGGAAGTCTTCGTAATCCATCGTTGCGGCTATCTCGTCTTTCATTAGGCTAATTTTATTGAGTTCCTCTGCTAATTGCGCTGGGTCGGAGACGGAGAAACAGTACGCTGGCAACATAGTGTTGATGAAGGACTACAGGTCTTTTTCCAGTAGGAAGATTGAGAAGGAATCTACCTATTAGTTTCGAAAAGTGTACGCCCTATTGTTGATGTACACTACTTACACCATTTATTAATATCTATTCTGTGCAGTGGCGTGCCGTCATTAGAAGCGTTGGAAGCGCCGCTTCCCTCGTATTCTCTAAAAAATAAATAAATATTAATTTTAATTATATGAAAATAATCGCACAATATTTTATTATAACCGCATTATGTATCTTATTACAAATTTCTATACTACACGTGGAAAAAAAATTGCTATTGTATATTAGAATATTAGTGGCGGAGTGGAATCTCCTGTATTTTCAGATTACGAAAAGCCAGATTTGCGCATGCGCTTTACAGAGCACCAACCTCACCCGGTTTAGCCGGTGGAAGCCTACGACCTTGGGTGAAAGCTGCACACATATAAAGATTCCAATTCTATCAAGGACCGGTTCTGGGCTGTTAGCCGCCTGCCCACTAGATATTTCGATTACGTGAATAACGAGTAGATTTATAACTTAACCCAACCGATAAGAATTTACTGGTATGTTTTTACGATAGTTCTGTATAGTTGACAGGAGTTTAAAAAATCCATTAAAATATTTGATATATTTATTCCGCTCTCCGATTTTATATTACTCACGGATTTCAATGTTAAACCAGTGATATTACGATTTCGTATATCCCATCTTTAAGGGGATGTAGAAAAAAACGTGTACAATTCTTGTACAATGTTAAAAAATTAACTGTTACTTTGGCAGCATCATTTACAACTAAATTTAATGAATGAGAGAGATGCACGAGGTACAGAAAAAGCTCTAGAATTTATTTTCCTTAAATTTACGATTTATGTATCCGTTTGTCATAAAAATTTGTCTTTCCACTTTTTTCCCGAGACTACAAATATTCGAGTACAAAGTAACCGGTTTCGACTTATTTCTACTTAAGAAGTAGTTAAATAATTAAGCGATTAGGGAATTGGGGACATAAACAAAACCCTGACGAAAGAGCCGGAATATTACTTAAACAAAAGCTTAACCGAACCAATCTATAGCCGAGTACAGTGGGGACTGATTTCTTCGAAATACTGTATTAGATGTAATAAAGACAGAAATTTTTCCAGTTCGACGAGAGTGACCGAAAAGTTGTAAATTTTGGAAATTTCCGTGGACAACACCTGGTCCTAAAACGAATTAGTTAGAAAACAAACGACGGACAATCTATTAAGTTTAACATATTTAGACTTTTACAGCTATGGTGAGAAACGTTTAAAATTTACAAGAACCCTGTCGCGTCTTTTGAGGTATATTAGTGATGCGACAAAAGAAACATTTGACATTGCCAAATCCCGAGGGTATCGGCACCCTCGGGATTTGGCAGCCCGCGTGCATGTACAGTACACACCGCACACCTAGCAGGACCGTCTCTGATTCCACTCGTAGGGAGCTATTTGACTAAGTGGTTAAGATTTAAAGAGTAAAGAATATTTTATGTTATTTTCATGTACGTTTCATTACAAAGTTATATTTAATTATAATTTTCTTTAAAAGTATATTCATACAATTGAAGAATGTTTTGTACCAGGTATGTATATCCACCACACATTTTATTTCACCAAGTAAGTTTTTATAATTTTATTTTTAATTTTAGCCCTTATATCGTGGCTAGCGATTCGGAATGTAATTGCGATATTGAAAATTTATTTTAAAAAAGTTTTGGCTCGAGATCATATAATGAAAAAGAAAACATTAAAAGAGAACGGCCAATGCCTAAGTTAAATATAAACGCTTAAATAAAAAAATTTGTTCGATATTTTCACGATAAAATGGCTCTGTAAATGCATAAAAATGCATTTACAGAGTGAAATTAGTGTGTGGAATAAGAATGTCTTTGACAATTTAGCTGGCAAAAGACACGAAAAATCGTCGATTCTTTCGTATTTGAAGCAATTTGGAAATCGAAGCGGAATAGAATTTAACATTAGTAAATAATATAAAATAAATATTGAAAATTGTAACGAGATAATTATGGGTAATAGATATATTATATCTAAATAAATAGATGTTATATGTTTTTATCAAAGCAAGAATTGACATTTAGAGGGCGTATGGAATATATTGGATCTAATAACAGAGGTAATTATAATGAACTTGTTTATTAAGTACGTCAGATAAATAATCTATTAAAAATACATTTAAAGAAAGAATTAACTGGTTGCCCCTGGATGTCGGCTTCTTATAGAAACACAGCTTCCCTATCATCAAATGTCACGGCACGCCCCTGATTCTGTGCTATAATAATTTACTCTAACTGAAGAGGGACTTTAAGTGCGAAATGCGTACATTTTGGAGAAAAAAGAAATATAGAAAAAATATCAGTGTGTCAATCTACCTGTGGTGTGATTTGTCCTTTAAATATAACCACGTTGTTGTTTTGCATATTAAACAAGGGCATTTTCTGAAGTTAGAACTGATGTATCATCACACCTTTACTCAGCAATTTTACTATCACTTTCTTCATTTTTATTAAATGTATAATTCCCACCGTCGTTCGTCTGTGTGTATGTTTGTCCTCCCTCAATGTCGAGAACGGTGTTAGATAGATGAAAGTCGAGATGTGGAAAAGCTTAGGGGAAGCCGGCTCCAATTATAGAAACTTCCTGTATAAACGTTAGAGACACTAGTAAACAATATCTTTACTCTTCAAAATAAAGTTTCTCGAAATAATAGAAACTTTTCTTCATTAAAAGGTACAAGGAGAAGACAAAAGTAAAGCAAAATTTAAAATTATATAATGCACATTTAGAATTGATGAAATATAAAGAAGTTCCAGAGAATGATGAGAACCCAAGTATCAAATTTATATGCAATATATGATAAGTGAGATTGTAAATCCTATATAAAGACTGCAAAAGTAGAAAAACCTTACTTCTTGGTAGACAAATTGCTTTTTATTAGAATAATATAATTCATTTATTATATGTTAAAAATAGTTATAGTCTCCAATCATTTTTTGAACACATCTCTGAAAGCTCAATAATATAAACGATCTATTGATTTGTTAAAACTTTTAAGGAATGAGTAAATCACACGAAAGATTTACACGATCTTTGAAATAAATTCAATGTTAGTAACGAAGTCACGCGTATTTGTTTAGTAGTCTAATTCAACTTTTGAAAATTTCCAAGAAATTCTGTATATATACAAACTAATTTGTAAACAATGAGAGTATAAAATGAAACTATAATTTTATTTGAGTAATAATAATAGTATGTGTTAAGTATCAATATGAAAATGAATTCCTTATTAGTTCGATTCTTTTGTTAATAAATAACATTTTAATGTAGTAATATCCTCGAAATTAAACATGGAAATATAGATATCGATCTGAATATTTTATGCATTTTATAAACAATATTAACTTTTTCTTTAAAGATTTGCGTGTTGGACGAATCTATTTACAAATGTAAACACTAGCATGATATATAGATTAGATTTCAAGCAAAATATCAAATTATTAGTTTATATCCAGAATGAAGAGGATTCTAGCATTGTTATTGTTATTGCTGTCGTTATATTACATAACAATAATAGCAACATTTTCGGTTCAACAACAACATTTCGAAATTAGTATTGAAAAGCGTGCAAAAGATTGCACCTTTTCGAACAGTACTGTAAAAACACTGTTATTTTGCTTGAAATATTGTTTTAAATTGGCAGAATGTTTTGGAGTGAATTATCATTCCGAAACGGGTTTATGCGAACTTCTATCCAAGAAATTGAGTAAGAATTTATTAGAAGACGATAAGAATTACAATGTGTATCACAGAAAGGTGAGATTATTAAGTTTTAAATGATTTAAATCATAACATTTTGACATTTCATATATATATATATATAATCTAATATAAAAATTAATTGAATATATTGACACGTTGGTCGAAAGTAGCAGCAAAATTGAAGGGGTGAATGGAAAAGTGGTATAAGTGACAAAATACAAGAAAGTGGTTATTGAAAAATGAAAGAATCATTAAATGTCAGTAATATGCAAGTAAACGTATCTATTTATTTATTTAATTTAATAAAATATGATTTTTAACCAATTTTATATTTTATAATTAATATATTATTTGTCACTTGTACCACGTTTCCACTGAACTCTTCGATTCATATGATGCATTTTTCTGTTGATGGTAGACATTCGGCATCTTTATAATTGATGCAGACGTGGTTCCTAGCTTGTATATAAATCATTAATTAACTTTGTAGCAATTTTTCTCGTGTTTTGGTCCCTTGTGATCCTGAGAAATTTTGCTTTCAAAGAAGTATGAACTATTCTCAGACATATTAGAAAGGTAGCTAAGGCTGTGGTACACTTTGCTTTTCTTATGTCATACTCGTGCTCCTTGATTCTAACGGATGGGTTATATGATGTGTATCCTATACAGTAATACTGTATAGTGTACACATCCTATATCCTATACTGTATACTTATTAATCGTTTTTTATATCCTAAATGGTACCTCATAATACCGAGAGCGGCGTTTATGTTTAGCGTGTCTTTTACATTACTTAGGAGATTGTGTACAGTACCGTATTGTTATGCTTCTATACTAATTTCCTGTCCATTCTTTCGTGATTCCTTATAATAAACATTATACAATATCTATGTCACAACAATTTCCTTAAGTTGAGATGTATAGATTTTTGGATTCGAAGGATTATTGTGTGGGTGTGAGTATCAGTATGATATGAATATCCACGGGCAAAACAATGCTCTACTTTTATAAACTGAGGCTGCCAACATTACATAATTGACTTCTGATCATTAAAAGTAATGCAGCTGACTACTGATTTATAGTTCTAACACTCCGGGACTGTCCGGGAAATTCCCGAAATTTTGAATTTTCAAGTCCTTATAAATTTCGAAACAATTCATAACATGGTGCGGACATGAACGCAACAAAAGATGAAAGAAGAATTACTAAAATGCTATACTGGTTTATATCAGGGATGACGAACCTTTTTGAGTCCACAAGCCATGTTGTAAGCATACTTAACTTTAAAACTGATTTATGCTTGTCACAGTTTTAGACTTTGAATAACGATATTTAAAGAAATTAAACGAATATCCTTTAATTAAAATAAATGTGAAAAAAGCTAATTGAAAAAAAGGATAATCCAAAGGTAAACCAAAAGAATGAGACGGCCTGCTGGCCGAGCGGTCAAGGTGCAGCCTACCGCTCGGCCAGGTTCGAATCCGGACAGGTCGAAAAATCCTTATAAATTTTTCGGGGAAAGGTCCGATCGGAGACGTCGGCCCGTCCCTCACAACCCGGCAGCCCCATTGTGGGCTTGGGCCGAACCCATAATGGGATTGCTAAAAAGAGGCCCTCTTAGTGTCCACAGGGCTGAAAAAGATTGAAAAAGACATGATAAATCGAATTCGTGCCAGATGATTTTACCTTACATGCCACTTTTGACATGCATGCCATAGGTTCACCACCCTTGACCTTTCTGTTTCTGATTAAAATATAAGTAACTTATAGTTTTTGTGCCGTTGTTGTATACAACAATAACGTACAAAAAAACTAGAAGAAATTCTGGATAAACCATATATTAGATTTTTCCAAAAATGACAAAATAAGGATACACCGATGTCGTCTTTCTGATAATTGAACATATTCTTGATGTATTTAGATTCCAATCGTTTTAAAATGTGCTTTCTGTAGTTTCTTATACAGTATTTATAACCTGATCTTGTATGATAATTCTCTCTCTTGTCTCTCCAAAGAGGCAGGAATCCGTGAAACGGTCAGCTGTTTAATGCAGTTTTCAACGTGATCCTGTGTAAAATAGTTACGATGCTTGTTCTGAATCTAGTATTACTTCATGGTGTTTCTTGTGTACTATGTTAAATCAAGATCGGTGTTGTGCAGATTTAATAGCATAGTCTACTCCTTTCGTCTGCAAGACTTACAAATTTGTATAATTGTAGTGATACTTGTTTTTGTAGGAAAATATTCTCGCACTATTTGTTTGTAATTACAGTACGTATAACCATCGGCATAATATATATATTTATATACCTGTATAATTTCAAAACCATTTCTGTGGCAAAATTAGGCTATATTGAATAAAAAAAAAAATATCTTTTAGCAGCATTCTCTATAGCTTGTCATGTATAAGACATGAAATACTATTGATCTCAAGTTAGGATTGTTCCAAGTAAACAGTTTGATTCTGAATGGAATAAAAATGAGTAATAACCCATATTGTAACTTCGTTTCATGAGATTATTTAAATTATATGAATTTTAAATCCAGACAATATTTTTTTTAGGTTGAATGTAACGATACTCCATGTAGTCATGGTGAATGTGCCAGTAGAGGTATGCTAGTAACAGACTACAGAGCCTACACATGCCAACCTTGTCCTTGTGGATGGTGCGGATGGAACTGTGATATCAGTAAGTTATTCATTTTATTGAAAAATTAAATTTGACATTTATTTTGATATTAATGTAATATGGAAATATGGAAACTGTTGTGTTCTGTTGCGTAAATATTGGAAAAAAACCTAATGTACAAGTTTTTGGAATAAATAAGACTGAATGAATGAAGAAGTTTTTTTACTGCAGTATCATTTGATAAATCCAATTTAGAAATTAAGTACAGCAGACTCCCTATAACACTAGATAATTCCGTGTTATATGAATTTCATGTTGTACGAGTCACTTAGACTTTACAAATACGTGAGCCGTTCACAGCCCGGCACACGTATTTATAAAATCTAAATGACTCGTACAATATGGAATTCATATAACATGGAATTATCTACAGTGTTATAGGGGGTCTACTGCTTTTGAAATCTGTTCAATATTCCAGTTAAATTTAAAATCAAACATTAAAAAATTAATAAACAACATAACAACAAACTAAACGTAATTAAAACTATGGGAACTGTTTACAAACTTGAATGCAACTGTCAAAATCCGAAAACTTATATTGGTGAAACAGGCCGGTCACTAGAAACAAGAATTAAAGAACATATGGCTGCCATCCGCCTAAAACATAACACTTCCCCCTGGTACTACCACACAATGGACTATAATTGCCAAATTAATAAAAACAATATAAAAGTGTTACATTTAGAAAAAGACCCATATAAAAGAAAATTTAAAGAACACATAGAAATCAAAAAACACCCTAAAGATAACTTAATTAATGTTTCAGAAGGCATGTCCATAGACCCCAATGGTACAAACTCATAGAGAACGCCTCCACGCGTTAAAGATTGTTTAAAGCACAACCCCCGTGTACGGAATGTGAGGAACTGTTTATATAACATTACTTGTCAGTATTCTGTTACTCGGTGAACACCAGATAACACCAGTTGTTAATTTTTGTACTATGTTCCTTTTTGTATCGGAAATAATACATTTTAACTAAAATGTAAGTGTGTATTGATATTTTTTTAAATTAATATTCTATGTTATACGGTTCTTCATATAAATGATGTGTTAAACAGCCCCCCCCTTATACCACTTTTTTCATATCATAGGTTATAACCTTACTACTATGTAATTAAAATTTTGTAAAATACATCTATGCTGTTCCATTATATGACAAGTAAGCATTTTATGTTATCATCACCTCGCGTTTTAGTTATGTTCCTACTCACCAATGTCGTAAAACTAACCTTAATTTTTTGTGTAATTTTAACNTTGCCCCTGGATGTCGGCTTCTTATAGAAACACAGCTTCCCTATCATCAAATGTCACGGCACGCCCCTGATTCTGTGCTATAATAATTTACTCTAACTGAAGAGGGACTTTAAGTGCGAAATGCGTACATTTTGGAGAAAAAAGAAATATAGAAAAAATATCACTGTGTCAATCTACCTGTGGTGTGATTTGTCCTTTAAATATAACCACGTTGTTGTTTTGCATATTAAACAAGGGCATTTTCTGAAGTTAGAACTGATGTATCATCACACCTTTACTCAGCAATTTTACTATCACTTTCTTCATTTTTATTAAATGTATAATTCCCACCGTCGTTCGTCTGTGTGTATGTTTGTCCTCCCTCAATGTCGAGAACGGTGTTAGATAGATGAAAGTCGAGATGTGGAAAAGCTTAGGGGAAGCCGGCTCCAATTATAGAAACTTCCTGTATAAACGTTAGAGACACTAGTAAACAATATCTTTACTCTTCAAAATAAAGTTTCTCGAAATAATAGAAACTTTTCTTCATTAAAAGGTACAAGGAGAAGACAAAAGTAAAGCAAAATTTAAAATTATATAATGCACATTTAGAATTGATGAAATATAAAGAAGTTCCAGAGAATGATGAGAACCCAAGTATCAAATTTATATGCAATATATGATAAGTGAGATTGTAAATCCTATATAAAGACTGCAAAAGTAGAAAAACCTTACTTCTTGGTAGACAAATTGCTTTTTATTAGAATAATATAATTCATTTATTATATGTTAAAAATAGTTATAGTCTCCAATCATTTTTTGAACACATCTCTGAAAGCTCAATAATATAAACGATCTATTGATTTGTTAAAACTTTTAAGGAATGAGTAAATCACACGAAAGATTTACACGATCTTTGAAATAAATTCAATGTTAGTAACGAAGTCACGCGTATTTGTTTAGTAGTCTAATTCAACTTTTGAAAATTTCCAAGAAATTCTGTATATATACAAACTAATTTGTAAACAATGAGAGTATAAAATGAAACTATAATTTTATTTGAATAATAATAATAGTATGTGTTAAGTATCAATATGAAAATGAATTCCTTATTAGTTCGATTCTTTTGTTAATAAATAACATTTTAATGTAGTAATATCCTCGAAATTAAACATGGAAATATAGATATCGATCTGAATATTTTATGCATTTTATAAACAATATTAACTTTTTCTTTAAAGATTTGCGTGTTGGACGAATCTATTTACAAATGTAAACACTAGCATGATATATAGATTAGATTTCAAGCAAAATATCAAATTATTAGTTTATATCCAGAATGAAGAGGATTCTAGCATTGTTATTGTTATTGCTGTCGTTATATTACATAACAATAATAGCAACATTTTCGGTTCAACAACAACATTTCGAAATTAGTATTGAAAAGCGTGCAAAAGATTGCACCTTTTCGAACAGTACTGTAAAAACACTGTTATTTTGCTTGAAATATTGTTTTAAATTGGCAGAATGTTTTGGAGTGAATTATCATTCCGAAACGGGTTTATGCGAACTTCTATCCAAGAAATTGAGTAAGAATTTATTAGAAGACGATAAGAATTACAATGTGTATCACAGAAAGGTGAGATTATTAAGTTTTAAATGATTTAAATCATAACATTTTGACATTTCATATATATATATATATAATCTAATATAAAAATTAATTGAATATATTGACACGTTGGTCGAAAGTAGCAGCAAAATTGAAGGGGTGAATGGAAAAGTGGTATAAGTGACAAAATACAAGAAAGTGGTTATTGAAAAATGAAAGAATCATTATATGTCAGTAATATGCAAGTAAACGTATCTATTTATTTATTTAATTTAATAAAATATGATTTTTAACCAATTTTATATTTTATAATTAATATATTATTTGTCACTTGTACCACGTTTCCACTGAACTCTTCGATTCATATGATGCATTTTTCTGTTGATGGTAGACATTCGGCATCTTTATAATTGATGCAGACGTGGTTCCTAGCTTGTATATAAATCATTAATTAACTTTGTAGCAATTTTTCTCGTGTTTTGGTCCCTTGTGATCCTGAGAAATTTTGCTTTCAAAGAAGTATGAACTATTCTCAGACATATTAGAAAGGTAGCTAAGGCTGTGGTACACTTTGCTTTTCTTATGTCATACTCGTGCTCCTTGATTCTAACGGATGGGTTATATGATGTGTATCCTATACAGTAATACTGTATAGTGTACACATCCTATATCCTATACTGTATACTTATTAATCGTTTTTTATATCCTAAATGGTACCTCATAATACCGAGAGCGGCGTTTATGTTTAGCGTGTCTTTTACATTACTTAGGAGATTGTGTACAGTACCGTATTGTTATGCTTCTATACTAATTTCCTGTCCATTCTTTCGTGATTCCTTATAATAAACATTATACAATATCTATGTCACAACAATTTCCTTAAGTTGAGATGTATAGATTTTTGGATTCGAAGGATTATTGTGTGGGTGTGAGTATCAGTATGATATGAATATCCACGGGCAAAACAATGCTCTACTTTTATAAACTGAGGCTGCCAACATTACATAATTGACTTCTGATCATTAAAAGTAATGCAGCTGACTACTGATTTATAGTTCTAACACTCCGGGACTGTCCGGGAAATTCCCGAAATTTTGAATTTTCAAGTCCTTATAAATTTCGAAACAATTCATAACATGGTGCGGACATGAACGCAACAAAAGATGAAAGAAGAATTACTAAAATGCTATACTGGTTTATATCAGGGATGACGAACCTTTTTGAGTCCACAAGCCATGTTGTAAGCATACTTAACTTTAAAACTGATTTATGCTTGTCACAGTTTTAGACTTTGAATAACGATATTTAAAGAAATTAAACGAATATCCTTTAATTAGAATAAATGTGAAAAAAGCTAATTGAAAAAAAGGATAATCCGAAGGTAAACCAAAAGAATGAGACGGCCTGCTGGCCGAGCGGTCAAGGTGCAGCCTACCGCTCGGGGGGGCCGGGTTCTAATCCGGACGGATCGAAAAATCCTTATAAATTTTTCGGGGAATGGTCCGATCGGAGACGTTGGCCCATCCCTCACCACCCGGCAGCCCCATTGTGGGCTTGGGCCGAACCCATAATGGGATTGCTAAAAAGAGGCCCTCTTAGTGTCCACAGGGCGGAAAAAAATATGATAAATGGAATTCGTGCCAGATGATTTTACCTTACATGCCACTTTTGACACGCATGCAATAGGTTCACCACCCTTGACCTTTCTGTTTCTGATTAAAATATAAGTAACTTATAGTTTTTGTATACAACAATAACGTACAAAAAACTAGAAGAAATTCTGGATAAACCATATATCAGATTTCTCCAAAAATGACAAAATAAGGATACGCCGATGTCGTCTTTCTGATAATTGAACATATTCTTGATGTATTTAGATTCCAATCGTTTTAAAATGTGCTTTCTGTAGTTTCTTATACAGTATTTATAACCTGATCTTGTATGATAATTCTCTCTCTTGTCTCTCCAAAGAGGCAGGAATCCGTGAAACGGTCAGCTGTTTAATGCAGTTTTCAACGTGATCCTGTGTAAAATCGTTACGATGCTTGTTCTGAATCTAGTATTACTTCATGGTGTTTCTTGTGTACTATGTTAAATCAAGATCGGTGTTGTGCAGATTTAATAGCATAGTCTACTCCTTTCGTCTGCAAGACTTACAAATTTGTATAATTGTAGTGATACTTGTTTTTGTAGGAAAATATTCTCGCACTATTTGCTTGTAATTACAGTACAGTAGAATCCCTCTAGTCCGCCCTCGGTTAGTCCGTAACTCCGGTTAATCCGACCGTGGTCGGAGTCGAGAAACTTGTCCCGACTCGTCGGTGACTCACCGTCCGTGGCGTTTTTCTGTGTTCGTTACAGTATATGTTTTACATTGTGTGTACATGTACAGTTTTGTGTGTGTTTTTAACATGTCAGGAGTGAAACGTAAACATGTTACTCTTTCATTAAATGAAAAATTAGCAGTGCTACAAAGACTGGACAAAGGAGAAGCTTGTTTATTTTACTTTTTTCTGATAATCCGACCTTTTTTGCGTTTCGACCATACCCCCAGTCCCAAAGGTGACGGATTAGAGGAGTTCTACTGTATAACCATCGGCATAATATATATACAGTAGATCCCCCTATAAGACGGTAGATACGTTCCGTTCTTTATGAATCAATTTTGTAGGAATCATAGTTTACGGACTACGGCTGTTTGAAAGGTTTTCTTTCATAAAATTAATCGATTCTAGACTAATTCGACTCAACATTTCCAAAATACGTATATTTTTTTGAAAATAATCCGTATAAACTACGTTATAAACAAAAAATTGTAAGATTACTTACCGAGTGTGTACCGTTCGACTACGCCCGTTGCTAAAGCTTGGTTTCGT